TGATATCTTGCTATTTGTCGAAAGAAAAAGTGGTACTAGACTTTCTTGCTTTATTTAATCTCAAGAATATATTATATTGAATAGTGTCCTTACCTTTGTTAATTTGATGATTTTTAAATTTTCAAAAGTTAGTAAGTTAATAAAAGTCAGAGCGCTATTATAACAATATATTCTTGAGACTAAATAAAGTAAAAAAGTTTAGTATTACTTTTTCTTCCGACAAATAGTTAGCAAGATATCGTAAGGTAAATATTAAAAAAGTTATCAAGTTTTTCTCAAATATCTCAACAAATATTAGCTAAATGAAAAAATATTTTAGACAATAGTTGTTCAAATTAATAGGTAGAAAAAAACAGTGTAATAAAAAATAGGGGTTCCTATTTAAATTTTTCAAGTTGACCTTCAAACGACCTTGAAGATCATGGCCAAGGTCAAATTCAAGGTCACCATCAAGTCCGTCACTCGATTTTCTACAACTTTTGTATTTAAAGTTTTTCATGAAAACTTGATTCTGCAAAGTTATTGGGAGGTTCCGGATAACCGTATTTTTAAGATAGCCTGTATACAGGGTGCTAAATTTCAAATGTAACAGGTAAAAAATCTCGAAAACTATGAAAGATATAAAAAAGAGCTAAAACACGTTTTCCATGATTTCGAAGGGGAAAGAAAATGGCATTGTCAGTTTTTATTTGGAGGGTATTTTCAAGCTCAGTTGAAGGTCAACTTAATTTTCTTAAATAGAAAGCCCAATTTTTTATTGTATCTCCTTTTTCTATCAATTAATTTGAACAACTTTTGTCTGAAATATTTTTTTATTTGCCTAATATTGTTTGAAATATTTAAGGAAACTTGGTAATTTTTTTAACATTTAATTTACGATATCTTGCTAACTATTCGTCTGAAAGAAAAAATAATATTAGACATTTTTACTTTATTTACTATCAAGAATATATTACTATAATAGTGCCCTAACTTTTGCTAATTTAATAATTTTGAAATTTTCAAAGGTCGATAAGTTAACAAAAGTTAGTGCACTATTATAATAATATGTTCTTGATAGTAAATAAAGTATAAAAGTCTAATACTATTTTTTCTTTAGACGAATAGTTAGCGAGATATAGTAAATTAAATGTTGAAAAAGTTACCAAGTTTTCCTTAAATATTTCAAAAAATATTAAGAAAATAAAAAATAATTCAGATAAAAGTTGTTAAAATTAATTAGTAGAAAAAGGAGATATAATGAAAAATTGGGTTTTCTATAAAAAAATTAAGTTGACCTTCAACTAACCTTGGAAATGCCCTCCAAATAAAAAACTGATAATGCCAGTCTCTTTCCCCTTGGAAATCATGGAACACATGTTTTAGCTTATTTTTATATCTTTCATAGTTTTCGAGATTTTTTACCTGTTGCGTTTGAAATTTAACACCCTGTATAGTGCTAACAACGTGCCTACAACCCTGTACAAAATGCTTCAGTATGCTTACAAATATACAAGATCTGTTTTGACATGCCTACAACCTTGATATTTTTTGGCCAGCGCCTCAATTCGTATACTCATTTAACCATTGCCCTTAATTTTGTTGTGTCATTCAGTTTTTGTGCTTTTATACCAGAAGATTCTTCCGAACTTTTGCAGGACTGTAAATCTTGCATATAGCATAATACGGCGGAACTAATTATGAAAAAACTTATATTCAACTTGAACGTAGCATCTTACAAGAGAAGGATCTGACGTGTAAATATAATTTTTAGCTGTATCTCGTAGCGGTAAGTATTCATGCACATTAATATTAAGTAAAAGGATAATGAGTAAGAAAATTTTGTTCGCGAGAAAATGAAAAATGAAAATTTAGAAGGCCTTATAACCAATTTAAATAAAGCGTTCAAGGAGCGCGTGGCGGAGCGGGAAAACATGTCTGTGAAGTTAATACGTCAAACTATCAATATGAAAAAAACAAGTAGAGTTCTAATAGCACTTTTGATAGTTCTACAGTTCCTCTATAACGAAAAAAAATAGTTCTGTAACAATACACCTAAAAAATCAAAAATAAAAGTACAACGTGCTAGGTTCGTAAAGTTAGTACGTCGCTTCTTTCTCTAACGTACAAGAAGCAATCAAAATTGTACTATTCGTAGATTTTTATCCAAAACATGAGTTTTTTCCTACTGTGCGCCGTTCCGCGCTTAGCGGCCGAGGCGACGATCACGGACCGCTGAGGTCCGTCGCTATATAAGAAATCAGCTGGAGCGTGTCTTTGTGTCATATTATTATTAAACACACATAAACATATATATTTTAAAGTAATTATTAAATGAGGAAAAAATTTTAATGATTTCCCGACAATAGTTGTCGCGAGCATTTTTGGTCTGTTGTGTAGCTGCCGCAACGTATATGTCGTTGACCGGCCTATCATTCTCGCGTACCGCTTACGCATCGCGCGATATCGATATCGTCATTAGATCTAAGAAGTTCGGCGGCTCCTCTTAGTTTTAGATCATCAAAATACAAGCGCAAAAATATAGAACGGCGAGGATTTGTAACCGCAGTAAGTCAGGATGACATTTAATTAATTTCATTAATTTAATTAATAGAATGAAAAATGCATATTCTTGTACTTCGTGTGCGTACTCTTATCTCATAGGTTGTCCAAGAGTACGCATTTGCAGCATTTCACATTGTTAATTATTTGAAGCACTATTAATTCAACTATATCAATTTCAATTTTTAATAGTGTTAGTACACAGCAGATAACACTTCATATTCAGTGTTAGTTTGAAGTAAGTATGTCGTATCGCTACAGTGTACAATTAATTATAATGTAAAAAATGCGTACTATTATCCGCATTTCCTCTATATAGAAAATAATTATTGCAGAAAGACCTACCTGTATTAAGTATCCATGTATTATATCTTGCATCCTTCTGCATTGGGAATTTGAATAATCGTTTTCCAGTCGGTTTTTCATTCTGACAATCTTTATACATGCACCTGTTATAAAAGCTATCTTCTGGAGTTAACATAGTCTTTATATTTTTATTTGCAATGCAAAAAATAATTTTAGATATGTGAGAAAAAATATATAAAATGTAAAATGTGAGAAAAAATGTAAAAAGTAAGAAACCAAAAATGACAGAATAAAGAGAAAAATGGAAAAAGGAAAAAAAGCAATACGTAAAAAGAAAAAAAGAATGAATAAATGAACCAATACAATGAAGTATACATACCAATACAGGCGTATACAAATATATTTACTAATAATGGTATTGGGCAAAAAACCGTAATACGTGTTGCAGAAGAGACAGATCACGTAGATCTGAGAGATCGTTTAGAAACAAATGTTGTAAAACACTAATCTCACGAATGAAAAAAAGACTGCAGCTCAGGTCAAAATACTTATCACAAAGCACGAGTAGCGAATCATCACCATAACAAACGTTATTGTGAACCTCGCGACGCAGATTGACTATTCTCGACGACAGAGTCGCTAAACAGCAGTGCTATAGCGCTTCTTTTGTTTCAAATCGTTAAAAGAATGATAAAAATAACGCTTGTAAAGTTTATTGACAACTTTTATACAAGTTTTATACAAGTTAACTGTGGTGAAAAAAGTTGTGTTAATGTAATGTTACGTCCTGCTGACTCAGCGGACCCTAGACTTCTTTTATAAATAAGGGAAATCGAATTTATGATTACTTATCATATGGCCGAATGCGCTCAGGCATGATACCACACGACGATATCTCTGGAATTTTCGATACCCCGAAAATACTAACAATCTTGAACCAACTCCTATCCTGTTTCCCACGCGCTTAACCATTGATAACAGTACCACGACATCGTTCTTAGAAATATCGATATTTACTTCTTAAGATAGATAGCTGCCACGTTTTTTTTATTTACAAAAGACTTTCGAAATCCTCTTATTGCCACATGCCTCTTATCTCCTATAAAATAATCTTCTGGAACATTTCCCCCAAAACCCCACTCTCTCAACCGAGCTGACTTTTTGAGAAAAGTCAAAAGACTCACTCACTTCTCGCCGATCCAGCATCCAGGACAGACGCTTCTCTCCAGCACCCCTTCAGGGTTTCTTAACAATCAAGCCAACTTGTGGCTTAGACAGACCAGTATTCTTCACTTGTTAATTATTCGGTGCAACGATCTTGTGCCTTCTTGGGCTATTGAGAGCGATCCTGCCGAAACCAGCTGCCTGTCCTTGGCGCAGAACTTGAGGCATCTATCCTCACAGAGACGCAGCAACCACACCTTTCATTGTCTACTAAGATCAGAGAAGTCCAGCAGTAAGTTACTTATATTTTCTTTTACCTGAGTGACCTCTTTCGTTTCATTTTTTTATCTTTTCTTCTCTCTCTTTTCTTTTCCTTTCGTTTTACTTCCGTTTTCTATCCTCCTTGGCATTCCTCCTTAATTGTTAAATCAGACGTCAGTGGCCAATCCTTTCGATCACAGTCGGACATAACGAACACGGAATATTGTTCTGAGTAATCGAGAATAATTGTTCTGAGCGCGATTGTTAACCACATATGTATACGGACACATTATGAAATCTTACAAATTTTATTTCATTGTGAACTTCCGTCTAATCACTAATAAAACAAGTTGTTTGTAATTGTAAACCAATTACGTTTTCCAAATAATTATTCTCAATCAAAAATTCTCCCTTCTCTCAACTGTCGCTCACGGTCCTATCCCAGGTAAAAGGATTCAGTTCCTTGACCTAAATAAAGGACCACCGACGTACGTCTGTGCCAGATAAAGGGGTCATTCCGATCCTTGATCTGTTCCGCAGATTTGCGAGTACGTCGGAGCTTGCAAAAGCAAGCGTCAAGTTGCGTTCCTCCTCCAGGACGTAACAGTAAATAACTCGTGCATGACTCCACATGACATAAATTATGTGGATTCGACATGGATACAACGTATTTCTTTTTATCGTTGTCTATACCGTGTTCCTGTACGATTTATTTGTTTCAGAAAACACGCGCACGTACGTGCAATCATAAACAATCCGCAGCTATGCGCCTAGCGTGCTGCATATGTTTTCCAGTTAGTTGGTATCAGCAGATGTCAGTTGGTGCTTAGTAGGTGTCAGATAGTGCATGTGCGAGGATGTCGGCGAATGAGGTAAATATATATTTAACTGTTAAATATTAATTATATATATATATTATAAATGCTTTTTTATAACAAATATGTTTCATGAATTATTTCAGAACGAGCTTAATACGATGACGACGACGGCCACATCGTCAGCAGTGGCCATGGAGACGACCGCTACAACGGTTACGACGACCGCCACAACGGTCACGACGACCACTACAGCCACGACGGCCACGATGGCGGTGTCGGAAAAAATGACCGGGGCGACATCGACGATGGCAGCGATGACCACGACGGCGACCGAGCCAATAACGTTAACAGTAAGTATAAAAATCTACGAGGGCAGTCTGAAAAGTTCTCGGCGTAACAATGAAAGAACACTTTTTTGCCATGAAATATGTTTTATTTTTCAATATAATCTCCTAAAACTTCAATACATTTATTCCAACGTTTTTCCAATAATTCAATACCATCATTAAAGTGTGATTCCGAAAGGTTCTTTTCGCTCTGGTATATAGTGGTGGATTCAAGTTTCATCAACAGTTATGAAACGACGCTTGAAATCCATTTTATTTTGCACAAAACGATTAAAATATACCAAAAACGTTTGAGAAATACGCATTCAAATGCGTTTTTGATCAATTTTTATCAAATGCGGCACCCATCTTGCACAAAGCTTTTTCAACTGGTGCTACTACTTGAATGACTTGACAGATCGAATAAAATTTTACATGGGTTTATATCAGGGATGCCACTTTCCAATACAATTATAGTTTGACATTTTCTAATGCCATGTATGTGTCAGGTCGAGAACTTTTCAGACTGCCTATGTAATTAAAGGAATAGAATGAATCTTTCTTGCGCGTACGCGTAAAAAGAAATTATAAATATTAGTTTTATTCTTTGCTGCATAGGTTTCGCAAGAAAACATTAATATTGTAATTATAATTGCAAACAAATATATGATGTTATCGAAAAGGAATTACTTACACATTATAAATGGTCGATGCCCATTTGAAAGTTGCTTATGTATCACTTTAATTATTATATTTAAAAAAAATATATTTATCTGGGTTTGTCTGTATCAATATGATCAAAATAGCTAAAATAGATTTGCAATACTGAAATAAAGTGATATTTTTTAAGTATTCATCGTGAATTTTGCTAACGTATTTATGAAAAATTATATAACATTTGTAACACACCCCATGAAGATATTTATAGCCAAACTGAAATAGCCCCATGCCATAGAATTTGAGCGGAGCTCGTGTAAGTTGCAGCAAAAATTGCACTATCTATAACAGAATCATTAATACAATAGACTATTTAATACATTTCAACGATATATTTATTATATATTTATATATTAATATTTATATCTGAATTTTATTTAGAATGTTTTGCATAGAAATTTACATTCTTTACAAAAGTACCAAAACTTACATTCTCCTGGATTTTTTCGTCACAAGTAGAATATGACATTTTCTTGACAAAATCTCCTGTGGCATTCGCCTACAATTAAAATTCGTAAAGTAAATTTTAACCTAATTTCAATACAGTAATACGAGATTTTAATCAGTAATGTAACATTTATATAGTACAGATGTGTGATATATAGGCTAGTTTATTTATCTACTCAAATATGTCAACAAATATAACGGATATAGAAAAACATTTAGACAAAAATTGAAGGAGAACATAAGACAGCGACATCATTTTGTTTCCTTATGGCACCACTTTTGAGATTCACTCATCATCATTTTTCTTAAGTAAAGACGTCCATTCTTTATTACATCATTTTCTATCAATTCATTTAAATAATTTAATGATTTTGAAATTTCCAAACTAGAGATGTTGCTTCCGAACGACATCTCTTAACGTTATCTAAGGAGAGGAGAATGTCGTAAACATGGAACGTCAGATAGCTCAGTGGTCTAAAGCAGTCGCCCGGCAAGCGAAAGACCCGGGTTGTTGATTTCCGGCCTAGCGAGGACCGCGCTCCTCGATATTTTTCTTTGTTCGGAACGAAAATAAGATGCAAGTCCCGAACGCACGGCGCACAGTGGGGCGAAAGTGCAAATTGCAGGACATATGGGTCAAAAATTGAAAGTTTGTATTTTCACATGTTATAATACGAAGTATTTAGTTAAATATTTCTACTTTTTTTCCTGTATCGCAAATTGCACCGTGGCTAACAGAATACTACTTACAAGCCATCAAAGTAACATAGGTCGAACGTCTGCGTAACGTTATTATGGTGCACTCATCGATTCAATCGAAGACATGTATAAATATGTTTCTATTCCAATATGCATAATAATATCGTTTTAAGGTTACTGTTATATAAATATTTCTTGCACACTTTTCCGAAAGTATTTAATTTCTGTCTTTATATATCAATTTTTTTATATATATATATATATCAATAAATTTCCCAAATGAAAATTTTGATTATAAGAATATGATATTTATTGAAGGTTATAGAAAAAGCTTCGTATTATTTCGTCCTATGCTTTACATTTTTCGAAAATATATACTCAAGACTATGCGTATGTGTCGAGATCAGGTGCCTCTAGGTACCCTTTTGCAATATACAAGGTTTGTCAAAAGTGTGGGAACTCTTAAATAATTTTTGTAAAATTTAAAATATCAAAAAACGGCAAAACACGTATTTCGATTTTTCAAAACAACTACCCTATGATATGGATATCGATCACTCTCCACCCCCTGGTACGCGAGGATAAAAGGGGGGTTGAAAATTTTAAATTGGACTAAGGGTCGAGTGGGGGCTCATTTGAAGTCTTTTCATAACAAACACATCCTTAAAATTTCAAGTCGCTACAACCCCTCATTAAAAATGGCGGCCGTTCAAATTTCGAAATTTCATGCACTTAGTGTTATCCAGGATCAACTGCGTGGAAGTGGCATGAATTTGATCCCTTGTGTGCGTGTGCGTGCGCGTGTGCGTGCGCGTGTGCGTGTGCGTGTGCGTGTGCGTGTGCGTGTGCGTGTGCGTGTGCGTGTGCGTGTGCGTGTGCGTGTGCGTGTGCGTGTGCGTATGCATGCGTGCGTGCGTGCGTGCGTGCGTGCGTGTGTGTGTGTGTGTGCGTGCGTATGTGTGTGCGTGCGTGTGGCTAAACAAGTGTGAATGTGTTGTATTTATAGTCGTGATAGGTTGCAAAACAGACGATTGAAAACTGTCATCTCTCTTTAATGATTCAAAACCTTTTACTCCGTGTTTTAAAATAAATTTTACTCAGTGTGTTAAAGTAAATGCTGAAAGTGGCTGCCATTTACTTCCTGACAATATGCCAATCTTTGATAGAATGCAGAAATGGCTTCACGATTCGTCTCAAAAGGTATCAAATCTATTTTATCCCTTATTCGCTGTATCAATTCTTGGATGCTTTCAGGTTTTGTTTTGTAAACTTTACTCTTCAGGTGTCCCCATAGATAATAATCAAGAGGAGTTAGATCTGGTAACCGAGGTGGCCAATCCTCTCTTCCCTCATTTCTGTTTCTTCTTCCTATCCATCGTAATGGAAAAGTCTCATTTAAAATTTGACGTGGCCCTAAACCAAAATGAGCAGGAGCTCCGTCATGCTGAAACCATATTTCTTCGAAATTATTTGGAAAACTATTTCGTATGGCTGGAATTATTTTATCTACAAGTAATCTGTCATACCTCTGAGCGTTCAGATTAAAAAAAAAAACGGTCCTATTAAGTAGCCATCTATTATTCCACACCATAAATTTATTTTTTGCGGGTATTGTGTATGAGTTTCCCGCAACCAATTCGGATTCTCATCTGACCAGAAACGAAAATTTTGATTATTAACTTTTTCCATTAACGTGAAAGTTGCCTCGTCTGTAAAAACAATTTGATAAGGAAACATGGGCCGGACATCTATTAGTGCCATCATTCTTTCACAGAACAACGCTCCACATCTCCGTCTTGCAATTCTTGAACATATTGTAATTTGTATGGATGGAACTTGTTTTTCTTTAAAATTCTCCAAATGGACTTGGGAGCAATATCGTGAGTTTGAGCGGCTCTGTTAATAGTAGAATTGGGACCTTCAATAAATGTCTGCAGAATATCAAGTTGTTTTTCTTCGTTAATGGCAGGTCTCCCTGATTTAGGGCGATTGTTTACGCTACCAGTTTCTCTGAAACGTTCTATTGTTTTTAAGACAGTGGACTTATTAATTCGACGATTCGGATACGTCTAATAATTGAGCGACAGCAGCATACGACCGCTCGTTATCATCCCATCTGCGCATCATGAGGATATTGATTCTTTCACGTTCCGACAATTCGCCAGCTATTTTTAAAACGTTTAATTTTTAATCTGCCTAAGATTTGTGAGAACAGATTTTAAGTAGCTGTGAGAACAACTGATTTTAAGTAGCCGTGAGAACAACTGATTTTAAGTAGCAGTGAGAATAATTGATTTTAAATAGTCGTGAGAACAACTGATTTTAAGTATCCGTGAGAACAACTGATTTTAAGTAGCCGTGAGAACAACTGATTTTAAGTAGCAGTGGGAACAACTGATTTTAAGTAGCCGGTTGATCCTGGATAACACTAACAAGGAGACGGTTAGACTTGGCCGTCCCCGATTTGGCTGAAATTGTACGTAGTGCAGTGTTTAGAAAGAAACTCTTATGGACCAAGCCGTAGGACACGCCTCTCAAGTGTCTTCGAGAAACAGCCATTTGAAAATTTGCGTGTAACACTAGGATCTGGGCAACGCACCAACTTCTTTACTCATCATTTCTACTACACCTTTTTCAACCAGTATCCTCTACCAGTCACTCTTTGAAAAGGATAGAAAAAAAAAGAATAAAAGTATAAAGTATCAAAATCTCTTTCTCTCTCACTCCCTTTAAAAGAAGAAAAGAAAGAGAGCGCGTAGAGCTCCCAAGCCGCAGGAAATCAGAGCATAAACATTTAAACTTCAGCATAAATATTGAATATATAAAGAAACATAAAAAAAATTTGGCGGCAGCAAAACTCGAACCAGCGATCTCGCGCTTATGAAGTTGGTGCGTTGCCCAGATCCTAGTGTTACACGCAAATTTTCAAATGGCTGTTTCTCGAAGACACTTGAGAGGCGTGTCCTACGGCTTGGTCCATAAGAGTTTCTTTCTAAACACTGCACGTACGTACAATTTCAGCCAAATCGGGAACGGCCAAGTCTGACCGTCCCCTTGTAAGTGCATGAAATTTCGAAATTTGAACGGCCGCCATTTTTAATAGAGGGATCATAGCGACTAAAAATTGTAAGGGTGTGTTTGTTATGAGAAGACCTTTCAAATGAGCCCCAAATCGACCCTTAGTCCAATTTAAAATTTTCAACCTCCCTTTTACCCCCGCGTACCAGGGAGTGGGGAATGATCGGTATCCATGTCATAGGGTAGGTTCTTTGAAAAATCAAAATACGTGTTTTACCGTTTTTTGATATTTTCATTTTTACAAAAATTATTTAAGGGTTCCCACACTTTTGACAAACTCTGTATATCTCTTTGAAAATACTCATATATGACGAAATAATATCAGATATGTCAAGCGTTTGTTCAAAGAAGTACTTAAGAAATGGAAATAATGAAAATTATGTTTCTTTTTATCTGAGAAATACATGCTTTGCGTGAAAAATAAACAATTCTATGATATTATTTAAATAAATTGTAACATATCTGTCACTCTTTTAATAAAATTAAATGACCTGTTATCTCGAAAAAATAAGTTTTCAGTAATGTTTTTTGGGAAAAATAGATAACGTATCAATTTGTAACTTCACACATTTATTATTATCCCCTTAATATCTTATCGAAGCGTTGAAGCCTCTTTTCCATGATGCTGATTGGTCGTCTCTACTGTATCGATCGTCTCGATCTGTTGCTGCTGGATTCATGTCGCTTGCAGCTGTCA